AGCCTCTTTTCCATACACAGTGTATATCTTCTTGCAGATTTCCATGATTTTCTTGTGTTTTTAAAAATAAAAAGGGATGAGGTGTCAATAATGTTTGTTTTGGTTCTCCATTTTCAGGATTATCCTAAGCACACAAAATACTTGTCTCATCACAAGTTCATGTTGAACCATGCTAAAGTGTCAAGTATCTAACAAGTATATAGATGCAAAGGAAAGACTGAAATAATTATTAGAGTGGTTAAAGTTTAGTGTTGGCAAAAACAGAATAAACCTTTTGGCCACCCCAATGTATAGTTCTTCAATTATTGATCCTTTCTTGTTCATAAACTCTAAAATTACTAGCTTTATTTTTATAACATTTGACATTTAAATCAACAGAAAACAATGAAGTAATTTTAGCAGCCCAAAATAAAAATACATTCCAAGCTTCAAATTTCATGCTTTTATTGCATATATATTTATTAATATCTTATTTTATATTTTTTCTAATTAGAGAAAATGTAAAAAGAAAATATCGATTTAAATTATAAATTTTATAAGCAAAAAATTATGGTTTTCTAGGTACTGAAGACTTCCTCCACGTAAATAAGAATAGCAACCCTTCATTTTGGACAGAGAATGTCTTTTAAGCCTTTGAGTAAGTTTCTCCCAGTATCAAATAAGTCGCTTATTGGAAAATTGTAAAGGAACTTGCCAAAATGATATATTATTTTTCAATTATTTTCTATCATAATTGGTCATTTTCAAGGAAAGAAAGTAGAAAGCCAAGATATCAGTATAGCAAAGTCCTTTTGTCATGTTACACCAAAATCTATTTCATAGTCATAGCATGTGAATCCATGTTCACAGTGGCAGAACATGAGGAGGGGGGGGGCCAGTGATTGGGAAGCCGGTACTGAGAGTGAATTGCAAACAAAATGTTCCACTTCCAGTATTTTCACAAAAAAAACGTGTGTAAAAATCTTTTAAGCCTTTGAGTGAGTTTCTCCCAGTATCAAATAAGTCAACTATTATATGTTTATATTGTGCTGAGAAACTCAATGAAGGTCTAACCAAACTTATTAGACATGGTGAAAAATTAAGACCAAATTAAGAGTAGGCCAAATTTTAACAGATTCATTGGTGAAAATGTTGAGAAATTAATTTAAAAAGTGATAAAAGAAGACCTAAAATTTCCTCCTTTTTATTTACTTTAATATCCTATTTGTGACTGCTTGTAGATACTTATTTCATTAACAGTGCATCAGGAATTAATTTGTTGATGGTGCTCAGTAGTTCTTTGATCATGCACAGTGTAAACAGAAGCGCATGCCAGTTAAAGCATGAAATGTATTAAAGAAACAAGAAAAGTGTTGTTTAATTATGTTTTCCCTTCGTTGAGGCCAGATTGAAAACTAATCCATATTAATGTTTAAGATATATTCTTGGGATATCTTTGTAAAATGATAATAATGGTAATTTTCTCCTTGCCGCAATTGGTAGATTCAATGAATATATAAAAGATTTAGATATAATGATCTTATTGTAACTCAGTGTCAAATATAACGTGCTGTATATTCCCATATACAGGATTTTGATGCAAAAAAGATTAACAAGTTTTATGGTACATTTTTGGTTGTCATTAGCGACGATGAAAGCTTTACATGGTGTTTTTTGTAGCCTTCACTGCACTAAAAATATTATTATATGTTTATATTGTGCCGAGAAACTCAATGAAGATCTTTGAAGTTTATTACAGAAAAACATGCACTCCTGCTGAGAATATAGGGGAAATGCTTTATTGGAATGTATATTCAGCTGTTAAGTTAGCATAGATTCTGATATTGACCCCTTTTGTTATTTTCAGTTTTCAAATTCGCCTCACGATCTTTATATAACTGAGGAGGACAGCTATACTTTTATTTCCCTTTTATTTCAGTCAGAAATCTTAAGAATGGAGTAACATTGGCAACAAAAGAAGAAAGAGTCTGATGTGGAAGGAAGAAATCATAGGAAAAGAAAATGCAAAGATCTATAAATATCCAGTCAAGTTATGAAGACAACTGCATTGTTTCCCTGCTTGTTCTTGCCACTGGCTCTGATTGCACAGACACAGCACCAAGGTCAGTAGTGCAATCATCATCTTCACCAGTGCTGCCAGCACCAACACCACCTTTAGCACCTTTACCATTGAAAACAAAGCAAAAATGGTTTCATTGGAGGTTTCTGATCAGCCTTCATCTTAGTTTCATTCCTAATCTGATGAACATGCACAATATGAAAAAACTAAATATGCAGTATTAACCAAGAAAGATGTACATTGCTTAAATTTTTATGCAAATTGTGATAATCCAAAAATTTCAGATCTGTGCATACAAATCGTGAAGAAGCGTGCTCAAGCTTTTCAGGATAAATATGATCTTTTGTAACTTTGAAAAGTTACAAAAGATTGGGAAATTATTGAGAGTTAACATGCCAAAGAAGTGATGAGAAGTGAAATGAACACAAAACATATGTCAACCACAGCTTCACAAATTACTGGTTTCAAAGAAGACTACAGGATGGGTATATGATTCTATGTAATTGGTTGTTGTACTCTATTAAAAATGATGCAGTGTATTGTTTTGCTGTTTATTGTTTTCAACAGCTCAATCAACCAAAACAAAGTATTTGAAAAATCTTGTGGATTTTGAAAATGGAAAAAATGTAATGAAAGAATACCAGAGCATGAACAGGATACACATCACCATAAGTCATTTCTTGCATGGAAAGATGCATATCAGAAGGGTCTACAATTGAAATAGTAATACTGAAGCATATGGAGGAGCAGAAACAATTGTGGAAAGATATGCTCATGCATTTTGTGGATTGTATCAAGTTTTTGATAACTCACTATCTGACATTTCGTGGACACTCAGAAGTCATTGCATCAAGTAATAATCCCGGTAATTTTCTTACACTCATTAATCTACTTAGCAGGTATGACTCTTTGTTGTCATGTCACTTGGACTGTCAAGTCTTATCCACATCTTGCAACATTTTTGTCTGGCAAGATATACAATGAGTTCACCGAGCTACTGGGCAATAAAGTACATCAGTCTATCCAACACAGAGTCAAAAATAGTAGATATTATGGGATTATGTTCAACACAACTCCTGATGTTTCTCACAATGAACAAATGTCTGAGATTCTCAGGTTTGTTGATGTTGACAACAAATCTAAAACTGCTGTAGTCAAGGAAGTGTTCACTGATTTTATCAAAATTCATGAAAAAAACATTGAGAGTGTTACAGAAGAAATTACTTCAAAATTGGAACAAGATGTTCTTGATTTGAATGACAGTTGTGGACAGATGTATGACAATGCTGCAACAATGGCTGGGAAAGTGTCCAGTGTCCAGAAATGCATATCGCAGAGAAACCCAAAAGAAATCTTTGTGAAAACCATTCTTTGAACCTCATAAGAGTGCATACAGCATCAGAACAGATGTTTGCTATATGGTGTTTTGGAGTTCTTGATTCATTGTACAATTTTTTCTCCAGCTCAACAATGCGGTGGGAGAAATTACTGTAAAGCAGTCCCCTGATACAAGATGGAGTGCTAGGTGCAATGCTGTTCACATTGTAAAAAATGAAGTTGGATGATATAGCTAAATTGTTGGAGGATATGGCAAGTAACACTTCAGTATCAGTTGACACAAAAAGCAATGACAGCTACTTGCTGTACAACATGCTTTCTAACAATACAGCTGTTCTGGAATGATGTCCTGATTTCCAATGACTGAGTACAGAAGAGATTTCAGTGCCCTTGAATTAACTTCAATGAAGCTCAAGCTAACATTCAAAGTCTGCAACAATCTGTATGACTGAATGGGATTTTCTCTGTAAAAATTCAATTGCAAAAGGTGAGGAAAAATGATTATAATAGGCTATTAATGTGGTCAACAGAGAAGGGTGCATCATAAAAAAGATGACAAAAGATGAGCCTCTAAATGTGAGAGAATGAATCTGTGTTATCTTGAAGGCAGTACTGGACTGAAAGATTGATTTATAAGGTTGAGCCAGTCACATGAGCAATTTTGATTATTCTTGGATATTGAAAGGCTTTTGAGTCTTCGTTTGAGGCACAATGCCTCAAACGAAGACAGTAAAAAAAATGAAAAGTAGCTGCTGCAGCACATTTATACACACAAAAAAGAAAATTCAATTTTTTTTAAATATTGGGAGTTGCTGAATAAGCTTTTCCATTTATGATTAGGAAATATAGATTTTAATTATAACAATATCACCTAACTGCTAATCATAAATGTAAAAACTTTATAAATTATTCTAATTCTTTTTAAAATTAACAATTCTTGTAAAAATTCATTATTCATCAAAAAAATTTTTTCTTAAGACAATAGTGTCCATATATATATATATCTTATTCATAAAAGCAATTAAAAGCTTTTCTAAATAAATAATATTAGAACAAAGTGCAATATACCTTTTGAAAGCATAGGAAGCATCAAAACAAAATAACTGATTTCATTATAAAATAGTAAAAATAAAAATTATTTAAAAAAGTTTAATTTCTAATTTAATTTTAAGAAAAGGAAAATTAAAAAATTTGTCCAACTTTATTATTCTGTGAAGGTGCTTTTTAGGCAAAGTTAAAACAATACCTTTGAAAACATTACTATAATTTGGAAATTCACAGATAATTAAATTAAGAATACTAAAATTCTCAGGCTGACCAAGAATGGAATCCAAACAAATTCTAAGGTTTGGTTAGATTTTAGGAAATGTGCTGGATCAAAAATTTCAGCAGTTATTTCATATATATATATATATATATATATATATATATATATATATATATATATATATATCAATGAGTAATAATTTTAAGAATGATAAAAATGAAGTAGACTGATTAAATGTAAATTGTAATAATGATGTCTGAAAAATAAATATTTTCAGAACACAAATTTCTTTAGGTTAAAAATGAAAGGGCAAAGCAAAATCATCAAGCAAATTACCTGCATGATATAATGAACACAGCCAAAACTATGTTTGCACAATTGGTGTTTTGAACTCTGCTGGATATTCTGTTGAAGATGGCTGATAATACTCAAGTACTTGTTGGTGCCATGCCTCTTTGGGCTACTTTGGTCCAGTTCCTCAGCAGAATCATTATCTCTACTAGAATCAGCATGTTCTTCAGACCCTACAAAAAATCTGAATTGAAATTACTAAAAATTATGAAATTTAACCCTTCAGACACCAAATTAGGTTCCAATTATCACAGTAGAAAAATGCACAATGTTTTAAGAGTCAAATCATTTGATATTTTTTGAAAATGATAACACACTAGTACTACTGGTTGAAAATACTGTAGTGGCAAAATGTATAGAAAATCTCTTGGAACTAAAATATACATGAAGATATAAAATATATATGCAAGAGTAGAAGAAAATTAATGGATAATTACTGGAAGGAAAAACCCACTCAACAAAATCAGTGAAAAGAAAATAATTTTGTTAACAGAGGAAACTAATCATGAATGGAAGAAAAACATGGTAAAATTCTCAATCAATGAAAGAGATACAACAGATAACATCACAAAATGTCACAGCATATATGATATTAAACAAAAATGTTTGAATTAAATAAAAGCAAACAAAAGAAGAACAGTTCAATGAAAAATGTTCAGGTACTGAAAACTGCAAAACAAATGTAACAGGCATGCAGAAAAAGATAAAAAATAGCATAACAAAATGTACAAAATCTGAAGAGAGAACAGTCTGAATGGAAAAAGATGTATGACAGCGTGGCAGACGTGATGAGACAGAACCTGGGACGAGCACAACTGGTTGCGACTTGCCTTGTCCCCACCAAAAAAAGAGCCTGTATTTGCTTAGCATGTAAAGCTACTGCAGTTGAAATGAGGGAGAAAAAAGCACTTACCGCTCTGCCATAATCCATCCTCGGCCAGATAACGTAAGAGAATGAAGGGGAACTTACATTGCATTTTTATGCAATGAAGATGCAATGCATTATGGGACAGGGACGCAATGAATTGTGGGATCGCATGAAGACGCAAGGGATTATGGGTATATGGACAAATATAAAAGCAACTAATTTTTCCCAGTGTGAGGGGCTTTGAGTGACGTTCATGGTTGGTGGCTAGAAAAGCCTGTTAGTGCGATTTTGAGACAGAACTCAAGAAGGAACGACTCGAGGTTGGAATACCAGTTGGGAGAGCTTGAATTTACTCGCTGGTTGCTGTTTTCTTTTTATTTGCCACAGACAGAGATGGAATGAATACATCAGAGAGATATACCATGAAAAGAGAGGAGGGTAACTTACAATGCATAAAAACATGGAAGGAACTATAGTATTAAAATATAAAGTCAGCATTGACCAATGTGAAACAGAACAAAGTAGCACTATCAGATGAAATTGTAATAGAGATGCTGACAACCTTAGACTCTTTTGGGATTCATTAGGTTATCAAAGTGATAAATGTAATATATAAGAGTAGTGAAATGCTGGTAGATCTATCTTTATAGCACTGCTACATAACTAATAATTAGGATTCTAATACATATAGCTCACAGCAAAATTAGATCAGAAATAGGCAAGGACTTTTTTTTTAAGACAGTGGAACAATGTATGCAATTATTATCAGACTGCTCAATACAAATGCAGAAAGATCAATGTTTCATAAATTACACAAAAGCATTTGATAAGATACATGAGGAGTTCCTTCAAGTACTAAAAAAGATTGATTTACACACAAAAAATATTCAAGTAATATTTAACTTCTACTTGGAACAAATAGTTTACATGTGTATAGAGTATGAATTTAGTGAATATACAAAAATAAAAAGAAGAGTACAATAATGATACGTTTTCTCACTGGATTTATTTAACTTACAGAATGAGACAACTCTAAGAGGACTAGAAAATCTACTAGATTTATTATCGGCAGATGTAACATTAACAACATATGCTATGTAGATGACATAGTTTCGAGTGTGGATTCATAAAGAAAACTGAAATAACTACTAGACAAAGTAGTGAAGAAAAGCAAAAAGAATAGACTAAGCATTAACTGCAAGAAGACAAAATATGTGGTTGTTAGCAAAAGGAAGTTTAAGTTGCAAGTTATATATTGAGAATGTCAAAATCAGACAGGGGCAGAAATTTTACTGGGCAATATAAGAGAAAGTGGTATGAAGTTCCATAGAAATAGTAAAAGATGATTTTCAGAAACTGAGTATGGTATTAAGGCACAAAGGCACAATTTAGAAAGAAAGAAAAAGTGTTGGATTGCAATATAAAATCTAATTTCCTACATAGCAATCAATGCTGGATAATTTTGTCACAGATGACAAAGAGACTTGAAGCAACAGAGACATGGTTCCACCAACAAAAATCCTAATAATACCATGGACAGGACATGTGAGGAACTACAAAGTTTTAAGGAGAATAAGAACTAGAAATAAACTTTGTCTTTTTATCTTATTGTCTTTTCATTTTGGGGGCAGTGAAATGTCCCCCATCCCAGCCTGAATCAAGAGCTTGTCAATCTGGGTAACTTTTTGGGAATTTCAAACTGAACACTTTATCTAATCTATAGTAGATTTTTCTCATTCAGCTGTCCATGTCTTGGTCTATCTTGTCATGTTAATACTGCACAATTATTGCTTACCCTGTTTCCACTGAGTCTGCACCAGGCATAGACCCCACACTTACTATATCACCAAATTAATAATCCAATAGGCTATTTTTCATGAAACAATACTGACTCAAGCCATAAATCTACTCTGCTTCCTGCAGATACTGATTGTCACATCTAACTGCAATCACTGAAATTTTTCCTTGTAATGCATTTCTTTTTCTCATCATTTTTACAATCAAATGTGGAGAATCTATTTTTTTACTACATATTTTTAATTCATAATAAATCTTCAAAGTTCTACAAATTTCAATGTTTTTTTAACAATAGAAAAATTGGATGTAATGTTAAGTAAAATGAGTACAATTAATAATTGGAAATTTTAAATATTATAATAATTATAATTGTTACAAATGATTTTATTACAGTTATACTTCCTTGATTATTTTTATTATTTTAACTGATGTTAGATAATGAAGACGTCAGATAATGATTAATGTGATTTTGTTAAAGTCTTGTGAAATTTAAACTTTTTGTTTCATTATTTAAATTATTGTTCTGATATTTTATGTTAGTTTCAAATTTTCATTTTTCCTTTCTTTGTTTTTTATTTATCTTTAGACTCTTGGGTCATACTTCACTTTTGATTTTTAATTTTATTCCCCGCATTTTGCCATTCTTGGCCTTTTCATTCTTGTCTTCTATTTTTGAATAAGAAAAAGAAATATTTGCCTTGTTATTAAGTCAATTCTTCTTTCAGTTTTTGTGCAAAATATGTTTTGTTTAACATGTCATTTCTTTAATTTCATATTTGCCTTTATCAAGTCCATACATTGATATAGGAAATATTTTTAAAAAATATTAAAATATTAGAGTACTGATGGAAATGTAAACTAGATAAACCATTCTTAAAAGGAATCCAATATAGTGATAGTGCTAGAAAACAATGCTGAAAGCAAAAACATCAAGGTATACTTGAACAATAAAGAATCAATTCACTACTGAACAATATAGCTATCCAACTCCATACCGACATCAAGTAAACATAAACAGCTCAGGAAATTAAAATCTAAAATATCCAAACCCAACTTGAATGAGTTTGCCCATTATACGATAATAAGTAGTTAAGGTCACAGACTTAAAAAAAAAAAAATCTAAATAATAACAACAAAAAATATTGGCATGAGTGATGGACGAAGGTGAACATATGAGAAAGAAGGAAAACCTGTTGATGCTCACTGAAGGGACTGGTATGAGATACCAATATGAGAAAGGAAGAGTTTAGGAGGATAATTCGCCATAGACATCTCCTCACAGAAGGGGGAGAACCCCTCTAAAACAGAAAGTAATTGACTTCCAAAAATGGGAAGTGATAAATTTTCCTGTCCGAAGACAAAGAATCTTTATTGGGGATTTGGAATTATCGAAGAACCCAAACCATGACAGACCCCCAACCCGGTTTTGGTCAGCATCCATATAAACGAACGTCCCCGGGTGTTCAGAGAGTAGAGTTGGGTTGAAGATCGAAGACAGATCAACAAATAGCTGTTGGGCTCAGAAACCAGCCTCGCAGGAGTTGACCGAAAGATTTAGACTTCTAACCAAAAGCAAATTTTTTTTGAAGAACGACTTAGACTTACACCACCAAAGCAAGTTTTGATGAATATTGCCTGAAGATACCAAAAAGCAGTTTATTGAAAAACAACTTAAGATATCAAGACTCGCTTAAGAAACACAAAGTGTCACCAATCCATAGAAGCGGGTTGGGAGAAAGAGACACTGCTGTATTCAGCAGACAGATATAAAGATATTTGTTATTTTTTTCAACACATTTGAACCTCTTGTGTTTATTTCACTATTTTTCTTTTACATACACTTGTGCGGTACTACCTTTGCCCCGGATTTGGCTTGCACTACGGCCCAGCGCCTGATTGATTTCGTCTACCTAAGATCAAATCACAATGTGGGTAGGTTAGACTAGAGATCAAAGCAGTTACTTTGGTAACCAGACGTTGGAGGCGAGCTGGGAATGACAAGGCTGATATTGAATCTAACCAGACATCGACCACGACCAAGACAACCAGAGGGGTTAGTGTCACACATGGTTCTGTGGTAAACCAGATTTCCATCTGAACCAGCCAAGGGTTAGGTCGTCACAGATGGTGCTGCAATCAGCCCAGGGTTAGGGTGGGTCACAATTTGGGGCCATGACCGGGACTGACCAGTGGCGTCACAGCAGTCATACATACCTGCCCCTCAAAAAATAGTTCCATAGAGTTTTCTAATAAAATAACCTATTCATTATATTAAGTCTTAATGAATAAGTACTAATTATTTTCACTATTTACATTGCTTGGAGTA